CCTGCTGATTTCCAGATTCCTTTGTGTCTGCACTGACAAGAGCGTGCAAGGAAGCAAATCCAGTCTTCATGCACTTTGTATACAAACCAGAGTGTTAATCTGGCCCCTTGGGCATAACTCACCCAGGCAATTACATCTCTTCCCAAGTGATCTTTACTGGATCATGGTTATCCTTCACCTAAACTCACACGTGCCCTACTCCTGCACAGAGCCAACATCCCACCGCAAACACCCAGACAGACTGTACGGTGCTGGACACTGCCTGCCCACCGCACACCTCTGCTTCATGGCAGGGCATTAGTAAGTACCTTCCATGCCTTGGCCGTGGGCCATTTGTGTACGAGTACGGAGTGCTCTTCAGCTACTGACAGGGTGAGAATAATTTTAAGAACACCTGTGTAGTTCAGAAATTACACAAAATTTTTCCTGTAAGTAAACCTCAGAAAAGACACTGAGAGCATCGCTCTTCTCATTATGCTCTGTGCTTAGCAGCCATAGACTGCTGATGGGAAAGCAAATAAAGTCATCACACGGCACTATGAAGCACTGCTTGCTTTTTTACTGGTAGTCAACCAGTTAGCTCAGGCTCTGACATCCAATTAATTGCTGTGGCCTTATTAGGTAGTGAGAGAACAGCAGAACTACATACAGAGCAATGGCTGCAATCTACAGAAGTTCACACTAGAGGGAAACAACTGTTGCACAGATGACATCTATGGTATTACATGCACAAAGTGCTGGTGTCCTGGTAACGCTGGTTTGGACTCTGCTACTGGCTGCATGTGTGGGACGTGCTGTTCCACAATACTAAGGGTTGGGGGGGTCGAGGGTATCTTACGTCAGAATTTTGCTTGCTGGCACTTTGAGTCCTCCAGGCACTTTATGGTGATGTTACTAGGTCCTAGCTGAAGCAGCACAGGAAGAGCGAAGGCTGCTATTCTACCAGCAAAGCACGTAACAACACTTACTTCACAACCCGCAGCTTGTGCAGCACTGTGGCTGGCCAGGCTGCCATCTGGCAGGGTGAATTCAGATCTGCTGCTCTCCCGGTGCCATCAGCCATCCCAGAAAGTACAGCTGGGTTGAGCAATCTCTCCTGCAAATCACACTTCAGGCACACTAGGAGGAGGAGATTGGTTTAGATGGCTGGAAATGGCAATGCTTAGCACATGACGTGCTCAAAGCACTTACAAACACTAAGTTAATGTTTTCCAGCAACGGCAACTACGAAGGGAAGAACAATGCTAAAGCCTGTGACGCAAGGCAACAATCCATCCCTGTTTTACACATGAGGGAAAATACCACCTGCTTGGCGTGTTGATGGAACAAGGGTTGGTAACTAGGCAGGCACGTTCCCGGTTTGGTGATGAGTGGCCAGCTGTAGGGGAGCAGGAGCTCATTTCCCAGTGCCACACTGGGTTCAGGGCCACACATTTCCTTCCAGCTTTCCTATCCATGTTTGTGGAGAAACCCAGCACACTGATGACGCCAGCGCTGGTATAATATGATACAGAGCTGCATACAATTTCTCTGGCCTTCTACAGATTTCTTGAGTGTGGGAAGGTGAAAAAACCTGACTGCAGTGTTAACTTGGTTTGTCTTGCTAGCTGTAATACGACAATGCATCAAGTACGAAATTCAATGTTATGATGAAGGAAAATCCACCTTTAACAAAAATATCGTAATCGCCTGTGCTGGTCCGGAGCCACCCATGTTATGGTAGCTACTACATAGATAAAAGTCACACCAGGCTTTCTGATTTGCTTGCTGTGGAGCACATCTGCAAAAGCCACCAGCAACTCTCTCTGAGCTTTGCTTCCCATCTGGAACTGGCCTATGGATCACCAGAGGAAAACAAGTGTGCCTCTGCTGTGATGGCAATGGGCAGCTGCACATGAGGAGTCACATATGGCACCATCCTGGAGAGGCATGGAAAGGGGATGGCTGAACGGCATGTGCAGATGCTCGTGGCAGTGCAATGGTGACAGTACAGTTAGCAACCACCTACGGGAAACACCTGCGTCTGCTGTAGCTGTTGGTGTTCTCAGTGCTCAGCTGAGGATGGGTTAGGGATTTGGACTTAGACTAGCAAAGGAAAAAAAAAATTACATATTCCTTATAAATTGTCCCATGTGTTATTACAACTGTTGACAGCTCCAGCTAGAACGTTGGCTGTTTTAGTGCTAAATCGATAGATATATACACAAGCCAAGTCCCTTTGCAAGACAGCCTGTATTTAAGTGCAGCTCTGGCACAGACTTTTAGTATCAAACACAAGGAACACAGTTTTTAGGGTTATACAGCTGAGCCAGAAGGTCCTTGGCTCTCTGTATGTAAGGTCCCTTTTACCTTGACCAAGTGGCTATAAATTTACATACTCTTCAAGGTACATTTTTGTTGCAGAATAGAAATTAATTATAGCATCAGCGGCCACAGGACATGGCAGCAACCTAGAAGTATTCTAAGCAAATGGCCCCTCTCAGCCTGACCCAACAGAAACTCAAGACAGCTTTCAAAGCCACCCAGAGACTGTCCTTGGCTTTCTTAAAGGTGAGGACACATGTCCATAGGACAGGCCTCGGTAATCCTTAAGGCTGTGGGATTTAGGAGCGCCCTGCAGAGGGGGAGAGAAAATGAAATACTTAGGGTGGGCTTGGGTGCGGTGGCATGACTGAAGGCTCCTGATGGAAGGAGGAGGTGGAGGTGTTCGCTCTCTGTGCTGTAGTCATATAGCCATGTTTTAAACAGCATCTCCAAGCTGATGACATTGTCCTCTACGGTTTGTACATCGATGTCTATTCTCAGGATTGCAATGTCTGCAGGAAAAAAAAGGTGAAAAAGCATAAATATTTTCAGCCACAGAAAAGCACATTCTTTTGCATTGTCCACTATGCTGTGACCTCCTTAGTCCCTCTAGTGCTTTCACATAACAAGTGCTTCAGAAGCCATTGCCATGCAAATCACAGCACAGCGCTGTGATGCCAGCTCTGTTCAAAGGACATTGCTAGAAGCTGAGCTGCTCCACAGGCCACGCCAATGCCCTTCTCACCAATGGGGAGGGTGGACTGGCTGCTACAGTCTTCAGAGGACTAGGTGGGACTGATGCAAACCACCCTCTGCTGCGGCTATCTTCGCACTGGCCCCAGGGACTCTTCTCACAATTTTAAACCATTTCCTCTTTTTCCCTAAGTGAGGGAGAATGGATATGTGATGCTATAAGAAACCAGAGAGACTGCAGAACTGAAATGGGGAATTTTGTAGTCACGATGGAAAAGTCTTACTCCTCCTACAGCAGATGAAGGCTACTTTGCAGTATGGCCCCATGACTAAATCACGAAACATCCTCAACGTGCGTTTAAAGGAGTCACAGACACGAGAAGAAGAGAAGCAAAACTTGACCTGGACCTGACCAACACAGAGGACATGTTTCACCACGTTACTGTTGAAGCGCCGCTTGGTAACACAGCAATCCCGCAGGAGAACATCCTTGCAGGTACAACATTCACCGCCATTACATTTTATTTCAAACAAGTGAAATGCATAAAATGTAGAGACTTGTCAAAAAGAAATCAAGAGGAGAGAGTAAAAATGTTTGCAAGGACACAGCAAGTATTTGAGCTACCATGTTAGAGATGCAGAGCAGATGTGTATGATCTAGCAACAACATTCAGGAATGGAGACATGCAGGCTGGACGACAGAGTTAGAGAGATCATAAACAAGACTGAACCCGTGAAAAAAAAAAAAATCCAAACCTCCTCAAATAATAACTCAAAGGTGCATCTGGCTGAGAAGCTAGCATAAAGTCTAGCAGATTAAATACGTTTTTTAAAAATAAAATAGGTAAGGGTGGGGAAAAAAAAATTTTATGAAGACTTTGCAAAATGCATAAGATGTAATATACCCATTTTTAACCACAGGAGGAACAGATGCCCTGGCATCAGTAGGGCAACCATACAGCTGGGGTATGAAACAGCTGTTCTGAGGAGATGAAGACACGGCAGAAATAGCCTTCTTTTTCCCAGTGTGTTTACCTGGCCAGCTGGGGACTAAAATGCAGTGCTACATCCATCTGCAATGAGAAGTCTTTTCTTTATGCATTAGTATTTATGATTTGCAGAACTGACACTATGCATCTGCCCCCACATTTCAAAAAAAAAAAAAAAAGACAAAAATTCATTAATCTCCCTCTACATGGCAAATCATCTCAGTTAATACAATGACTGCAACTCTTCAAATGGTCTGCGCCTTTTGCAATACGGCCATCGCAGCAGGACATATTTTCTAATCGTCCTTACCTTCCAGCCTTGGGGAAGGCACCGAGATCATGCAGGCTGCGCCTCTGCAGCAAAGCAGCATCAACTCCTGCTTGCGATGGGCGGTTCTTCACACCGTCCTTGCTGCCGAAAGCCTCCCCTCCTTAGTGTCCGGTCTGACTGTCCTTGGCTGCAAGGACATTTCATTCCTGGTTGTTTTTTTTTTTTGTTTATCTCTAACATACATAGTAAACTGATTATTCCCTTCGTTTTGAAGACTGCTACCATGCCTGACCCTAGTCTTCTCTGATGCTTACGGGAATATGAGTTTCTCCCCGTGGAGCTATGCTGGAGGACGCTCTGGTGGAAGGCAATGTCCTGCTGCTCCTCATGAACAGAGCTATTACCCCTGCCAGCCAAGTGCCCTGGTGCTGCCAGTCCTGCTCTCATTTCCCACAGGTGACAAAGGGGGTTATCTGTGTTTTCGGGCTGGCAAATGTTTTCGTCCTTTCCTCGGTAAGTATTTCCCTATTTTTTTATGTTCTCTTCTGTAGTAGATATGTAGCCACTTACACATCCTGAGTTGGCACAATACAGGGCAACTGTAAAAAGAAATTCACTGTGTTCATTGCTGTCCATTCTTAGGGAGAACAGGTTGAGATGCCGACATGTGCTGTGAGATGGGTCTGAAATTCCTGTAGAGCAGATGTGCAAAGCCATTTATTGGTCAGCAATCTGCAGATAAAGGTTCCCTGGACTATGCTCACAAAAAATGTATTAGTGCTTTCTCTTCAGTGCTTGTTTCTTGTTTTCCCGAAACAGAAATAGATAGGGCCACTGTCTGTATCACACACAAATATCAGCCTTCATTAGCAAATGGTTTGGCAATGTTCAGATGCTCTAAGTGTTTGTAATGGGGTAGGGGCACGAAAGAGATGACAATACTTCCCATGTTATCAATTAGAGGCCGGGCCACTGCCTCCTATCAGTCACGCCCACACACTATTCCTGCCACAAATGCTGTGTGCATTGCTCTCCTTACAGGAGTGGTATTATACCACGATCCCTGCCCCAGTCTGCACTCTGGCAAGCCCTAACATTGCAGATTTAGTCTCTGTCCCACAGAGGTGCTGCTTCGCAGTTTTGGAAGAGCAATCCTTGTTGCTTGCACGTGGTCTGTCTTTGCCTAGCAATGCACTCCCCCGAGGAGGCTGCTGGGGTGAAGAAAGCAGCAAGCATTTTTCATCCACGACAGGCTGCTCCTAGCACATTCAGAGCTATTCTAAGACTTGCCAGCTGTGGGGCTTCAAAATACGGGGGTCTTTTCTAGCTGCATTAACCTGGAAATGAGCCCATGAGCGGGGATGTCCTGATCCTGCCTGCCTTCTTTCAGTACCATAGGAAAGTGTCAATGTACGTTGCTTTTTTTTCCCCCCCTGCTATGCTACATGAGAGAGGAAATTTTCTGGGCGAGCTGAGTGTCCTGAAATCATGGAATCCAAGTCCATTTTACCTGACAAGATAACCAAGTGACACGTCTCACTGAAAGCCTCTTCATAAATCAGTTGGGCTCCTTTTTCAAATTATTTGGACCAGCCATTCCCTGGTGCTCCTCTTAGAGAGCAAATGCATCAGCTGAGGCTTCTAGTAAGAGGACTCAGAAAATTAGAATGTCATCATCTGAAATGTCAACAGCCTTTGTGTCCCCATTTGTGTTTTCATTCCATTTATCGGGTGAAAGGGCTGCATGACTTCACTTTTAAAAACAAGGGGGGGGGGAAGGGGTGTTGCCGGCTGTAAAGCAGTCCTGTGACTGAAAGGCAGACAGCGTCTCCTGTTCCGTGGTGCCCAGCTTTCCAAGGCTTCCCCGCAGGGCTCTGCGCAGCACCAGCTTGATGCAAACTCCTGACAAAAATCCTCCTCACGTAAGAAGCCAGCACATGCAGCCACCCAAAATACTGCCCTCTTCCCATACGGACAAGATGGGTGCTTTTAAAGAATATCTCAGCCTTGGAGCTGTAGGCAACAGTTCCTTCCACAATTTTGTAATTTGCAGTTTTGGTGCAGTTTTGGCATGTTAAATTAATTCTGAAGTCAGGTCAGAGTGACGGAACCTTGATCCTCTTCCTTAGGACTCACTGTTCCCAGTGTTAGCGGTGACGGTGCTGGTCAGAAGGAGAAGGCGCAGCCTTTCCCCGGCCAAGCAGTTCCACCTGCAGAGGGGAGCGCTCTCCCCGAGGCCTCTCTTCAAACACGCAGAGTCCAGAGTAACCAGCTATGTCTCACTCAGGGACACTGCCCCTTCAGAGCAGGACGCTTTTAATGGTAGCAAGAGGGCTGGTATACCTCTAAGTGCTTGATTATACAACTCAGTGTTCAATTTGGTCTGCCACCGGGTCAGTGGGACACAGAGGCAGCAGGGAGAGCAGTCATCGCCGGTGGCAAGATGCACCCAGCCAGTGCTGTGCTGCGACGGGGGAAACCGGCGTAAACTCCTGCTATTTGGCAGTCATGCCATCAGCCTCGAGAAAGAGCTGAAATAACTGAGCAGATCTGAAAGCTGGGTAAAGCAAAATACAGAAATGAAAGTTGCAGTTGTAGCAGCATTGCAATGTACAGACTTCTAGACAGAACTGCTGTGGTATTGGACTCCTGATCACCATCTGGCCGGTTTATTTAGAGTTGGCTCAGTACCTTTTGCTTTGAAACAAAACGCTCACAACAGGAACTTCTGTTTCTGAATTTCTCATTACTACAGCTTAAATTCTTACTGCTGAAAACTGTCAGATTAAGGGCAGAGCTCTTCAGAGACGTGGCCAGGAAAGAGAACATTCAGGGTCTGGGGTGTACTTGCTCTTTCATTAACGACACATGTGGCCGGGTGTGCCAGGGATGAGGCAAGAGGGAGTCTGCCGTCCACCTAAGCATTCCCAGCCCCTGCTCTGCCAATTGACCAGAAATTTGCTACTGCAACCAGAAAAGAAGAACAACAGCTAGAGACAGGTAAGGCAACACCAACCAACAATATTGTCGTTGCTAGTACCAGGTCTCACACTAACTTTGCAAGGCATCGGGACTCAGGTTTATCAACTCGTTGTGAGAACTTGCTGTGTGAACCAGAGCTCGGTACCAGGTGTGTCCTGTTGATCAGCAGGTTAAGTGTCAGCAGTAAAGGCCCTTGAAATGGAGACCTGGACTAGAAAACAGAAGCTGCAGGGCTATAAAGAGCTCACCGATGTGCAGTTACTGGTTACTGAAGAAGTATAACCTCAAGAGCTTAAGAACTGCCCTAAGCATAGAGAAAAGAAGCAGCCACTGCTAAACAAGAACAGCATCAGTGACAAACAGCAGCTGTTTACCGGGGTAAGTACCTGGCTTGGTCTGGGAAAGTCACCCTTCCCAGCATTGTGCGATATGGAGTCTGGAAAGGACTAAAGGCTAAGAATTTTCTAGAAGCCAAGCATCTTGTAAAAGGACAAAATCTTGAGCTGGTGAGGGGGAAGAGGGGTTATCTCTGCAGGATCATTGAAACTGTGAATGGCCTGCCTGATTCTGGTTTTCTCTGCCTGCACCAAGGACCTTTTGATCAGCCAGTCAATAGCCCAGGGTGGTGCTCAGCAGTATATGTGTGCCTGAGAGCATGTTACCCCCATAAACTCTATCAGCTTTTCTCCTTAATCCCTCAATAAAGCTGTCTGGCACACAAAGTCAATATTAGGTAATAGCAAGTGATGCAGTAGTATGTGAAGTCTCTATGTTCGCTTTGCGCAAAAGTGATAAAGCCCAAGAGAAGTGCTGTAGTACAAACTCTTTGCTGTTCCGTCAGGCACAGTGGTTCCCACTTACAGGAGTGACACTAAACAGCACAAAGGGAAGTGGAATACATCAGACCAAAGCAAGAGCTAGTGGTTGTCCTGCTGTCCAAACCCATAACTTCTCCGAGTGCCCTGTCTTGTACTCACCATTGCTGCTGGGCTCTGCTGCTGGCATGCACTGTTGCACATCTTCAGGCTCTAGAAAGTCTCGCTTCAAAACCTCAGTGACTTGTATTCTTTGCAGACTCACAAGGTCTACGTCTTTTAACTTCTCTTCCAGCTGCTTTACCATTTCTTTGCTGGACTGGCTGGTCAAAATTGTGATCTGAAATACAAATCAGAGTGTGCAAGAGCAGCCTCTACCCTCATCCTCCCTTGACAGGCAGTGATGCCTGGTCTGATTGAACAGCACAGCTCCTACTGAAGGGAGGAGTCTTCCTAAAACATCTCATCTATTCAAAAGCAGATTTAAAAGCATTTTTGTGAGCGTTGGGTTTTATTTAAGCCAATATGAAATGGATGAAGAGGTTTACCTTGGGAACACTGACAAGTTTTGTGCCACTGCTGGAAGAGGATGGAACAACCCACAACTGGTGTATGCTTTGCATTTATGGTTAGTGAGCCTGTCTGTGCTTAGGAGGGACGGCCTGAGACTTTGAGGGACAGCGCCACTTCCCATTACTGCATCAATTATAGTTCAAGTAGACTCCATCTGGCCTTCTCACTTGAAGGCTGAATGGGATTTTTTTTTTTAAAGCAGTATGCAGTCTATCCTAAAGAGGAAGGCAGCAGCGGGTGTGATTGCCACCTCCCAGTTGGATGCAATACCAAATAGGTGACAAGAGTTTCTTCATCACTGACAATCAACCACAGTTTCTGGAAATGTCAGGCATGGTTGACGCCAGCTTCTACCCTGAAAGAGTAGTTAGGCGAGAAAGTTTTGAGTTCTGACCTCGCCTGATGTTTAGTGATGGTGAAGTCTGAGTCTTCTCAGCACAACTGCTCAGTGCTCCAAAGGACTAATTAATAACGCTAAATAAAGGATGAGGTGTATCTTTAGCTAAGGCTGCTAACAAATGTCCCGCAGGGAGCATTTGGGGAAGCTTAACAGTAGACCTTCACAAACGAGTTCTGCTACAAAGATATCAAACAGCTCAACAGAAGTGACAGTTCAAGGGTTAGGGATTTTTTTTTTGGGGGGGGGGGAGTGCAGGGGGCAGGGAGTGTAACTTCTGCATCCAGATCTATCTTCAGTGTTTATCCATGAGATATTGGGAATGAAGTAGTAATTATGATCTCCTTTATGAACTGACAAAAGTAGATAACAGGAACTGTTCTTGAGTTGGGGGAGCAGAACCAGCTGAAGACACTCTTTATTTTTTTACACAACTATAGATAGATAATTTCCTACAGTAGTACACCTTAACTTCACAAAAACCTTTAGGTTACGTGATGTAAGCTCACCTGCACCCCCATGGAGGAGGCCAGAGACACAGTGACAGGCAGACGGGCCCAAATATTGCCCTCAGCCCATTGAAGGCCCGTTTCTCCAAGCCTAGAGGAGCATGGAGGCATGGTGCCAGGCCAGGAAACCAAATCAGGGGCTTGGAGGAAGGGACACCCTCCGGGGGCCGCTGCCTGGGCTGTCCCCGCAGAGCCCTTGTCCAGGTGTGAAGCCCATGAAGATGAGTCAAAGCCCGAGCACCTTTCCGACCGAGGGGGGGGTTGCTGCCTAGGGGTGCGGGGCACATGATGGGATGCAGGGGAAGAGCAGCTTGGGATTGCATGAAGCTTATTGCAGGATGTTTTGGGGAGGAACCAAAAGCGGGCAAAGGGAAGGACATAGGTGATCTGGGAGGGAACGAGCGTGGGAAATAGAGAGGTAAGGGGATAAAAAGAGCCAGTCCCACATAAAGAGTTGGCTGGTCAGTATGCTTGCCTGGCCAGGCCCTGCCCTGCCCACCACAGTCTGTCCCATCTTCTTCTGAAATTCCTTCCCAGCTCTGTCCTGGGTGAGGGCTCTCTTCTGCGTGCAAGGCGGGGGTGTGGGGGGGTGTCCCAGTGCAGCAGTTGGAGGCCCCTGTGTTTGTGGTGCAGCAGCCAGAGCCAGTGTGAGTGAGCCTGTGCTCGTTAGCAAAGAGCAAAATGGACCAGCTGGGGGATGGGTGAAATGGCTTGGGAGCAAGAAGGGGGTCTCCGAGGGCAAGACCACGGCAGGAGCTGGCTGTTGGAGGGGCAAGGGGAGCCCTGGCCAGGTCTGTGTGTGTGTGTACACATGATGGTCTGTGCCAGCAACCGGAGTGAGGCTGCAGCCTTGGGGACTCGTGTGTCCAGATGCCAGCTACTGGGCAGACTGAGTGTCTGAGCCCAGCTGCTGGAGGGATCCACATGGTGATAAGGGGTGTATATACATGCATATATACCTGCTAGTGGATTTCCATCCTGCTCAGCCAGAGAGGGGAGCAGGCTGAGGCCATTGGTGCTGTCTGTGTTCATGTGAGCGCTCTCAGTGTCTGTCTGTGATCTGTGTGAGCAACCATGATGTATAGATGTGTGTTATACGTGTGCTCTGTGTGCATCTGCCTGCCGGGGATCAGTGCTCAGCCTCACAACTGGCTGGGCCTGGGGGCATGGAGCTGTGGCAGCCTTGCTGATGTCAGATCAAGCTCCGTTTCCCGAACAAAGTATATCCCCTGTGTTGGCCTCTGAGTTACTGGGAATGCAGAAATTACTATGGGACCCTTTTAGGAACTAATGAAAATGGCTAGTAGGGACTGTCCTTGAGCTGGGGGTAGCTGGATTGCCTAAAAGATATAATTATCTTTTGCAGAGCTATAGACAGAGCACTTGCTACACTGCACCTTTATCTCATAAAACCACGGCTGTGCAATGTCTGTAGCCTATCACCTCCAATTTACCCTTGTCACAACCAGTCGCACTACCACATGCTGGTCAGAGACCCAGAGAAATATTTTACCACATACAAAAACTGAGGTAGCTGCTGTGACTTCCCTTCGTGATACCACAGTTTCTAGATATAAACCCTCCATGCCATTACGCTTCCTAATCTGACAAGAAATGGGTTACTGGTGGCTTGAGAAAATGCTTTTCATCCTATTGCAGGTCAGCCACGTTTCCTGCCCTGTAGCTGCTGCTGAGACCTGGCTCTGCTGATGCTGGTGGGTTTCTCCCTTCTGAAGTCAGGATCTCAAAAGAGTAAGCATTTTCAATACTTTTAACAAATATTTGGGTTTTGAATGATCATGGGTTGTAACAAAGTCTGCCTCCTGTGCTTACTAGTCAGCTAGGAATATTCTTGCCTCTTTGCGGTTTAACTGTTAGGAAAATGCACATTTGCCTAAAGACTACATCTGACTTGCACCAGCAAACTGCCAGTGGTGCTCTTGTACTATAAATACCGGCCATCGTGGTCTCGTGCTGAAGAAACTGTACTTCTGATATAACCGTAACGCCTCCTTAAGCACTTTCATTTCTGCTAGCTCACACGTAAGCAGCAGCTTCCGACATACTGTGTTTCTTCATCCTACTGCTGTTCATAGTCCTGTCCTGTCCTTCCTGCCTCTCCCTGCTGCGTCGCAGCAGGCTCCACTGCTGCTGCCCTCCAGGCTTTGCCTGCGCTGCGGCGGCAGTGGGATGGTGCTGCAGGCGGTACGGCAGCGTGCACTCCTTGTGCAGCTTTGACGTAGTCTCTTCCAGGTCGATGGAAGCACATGGAAAGCTTTTGGGTTTAGCGTATGTCGCTTTAGAAGTGCAACAGCAAAAGCAAAACAGCACCTCCTTCGGGAGCAAAGGCTTCGCAAGCAGAACGGGTAACTGCTGAGACGAGCCCGCGCATCTCGGTGACAGGCCCGCCGTCTCTCCTCCTGCCCAGCTGTGCACGCTCCCTTTGCTAAGTGTCTTCCCCCTGCTGCAGGATTTCACAGATGGTGATCTCGCTTGTTCTCAATTATTTACTCCTCTGTTGTTCACTGACTGTAGTTATATGCCTGTAATTTGCTGTTCCAGCCAGCACCATGGGTTACCATATCTCAGTAACAGGGCCACAGAGATGTCAGCTTGGCAATCGGGCATTGATGCACCAAAACAACACAGAAAGCATTAAGTTTTGATGAACAACAAACACTCCAGATAAGTCTTATGTTAAATCTTAACTGCAAAATACTGAAATAAACTGATTTATGAGGGCACTTAACCAAGAGGCATGAAGTTCTTGAAACAGAAGGAAGAGATTGTATTGGTAGAACCTGACATTCATCCCATTGAAAAATAGATGGAAATAGAGTTCTAAAAATTTGGTAAGTAGGGTTTACTTTCTCTTGTCCATGCTGTACAGTTCAGTGCAGAAATACTTCTAATATGTTTTCTAATCACAGAATGGTTTGGGTTGGAAGGGACCTTTAAAGGCCATCCAGTCCAACCCCCTGCAATGAGCAGGGACATCTGCAATGATATCGGGTTGCTCTGGCCCCCATCCAGCCTGACCTTGAGTGTTTCCAGGGATAGGGAAGCTACCACCTCTGGGCATCCCGAGCCAGTGTTTCGCTCCTGCTTTACAGTATCTCAGAAACAGAATTGCTACCTCTCTCCACGGTGGGCTAACTAAAAAAGCTCGTGGGAGATGTTAAGTACTCCGTCACCACACATGGTCTACCCGATACAGTTAAGTTTAAACAGGGTAAATGCCTACTTTAATTGGCTTAAGTTACCCAGGCTTCACTTCCAAGAAGGTATATTTTTCCCTTCTGCAAAAGATACCGTACCTGAGCAAAAACATTCAAATTCCTTCTGAGAAAAGGAAACAGAAATAAAAATCCCACTTGCTTTGCATAAAAAAAAAAAGTGCTTGTGATGAAAACAGAATTTCAGTCACTGAAGTACCTGAAGCAGAAAGCTGCCTTTTTTAGAAACCTTGCCTTTTGTAAGGCTGGAATACTCTTCTGCCTTTCTGTCATCACCGGCTTTTATTTTTCAACAAAGATCTGAGGATCGTGGGTACTTTTCTGCTTGCTTCCTGGCTCCTTAGTGATCTGATGGTGCTTATTTACCCTTGCTGAAAGACCAAGGCCACCCCATGGATCCCACATAGGTCTGTGAAATTTTGTCTGGATTTGCAGGAGACTGAATTTCACTTGTGGGTGACATTTATGCAGCATGCAGAACGGGAAGGATTGCTAGCTCAGAAAGAAGTCCTTTGTCCTTGAAGTTCTCCAGAGAACTAAACTTTGAGCTAAAGTTCCCTCGAGCAGGCAGGTGCAATGCATTGCCTTTTGAACAGCTCAGCACCCTCTCTAGTGCCTGTGCTAAAATCAGGTGTACTATAATGCTCCAGAGCTCTATGCTCTTTGAATTGTCTCTCTAGTTTCATTTTGGATATTTTTAAAATGCAATAGGGTCACTATAAATTGTATCCACTAATGAAGCCACAAAAAAGCTGTTCTCTCTTTAATTTTTCTTTCCCTTTGCTTTATAAGCATGTGTTCTTGGAAGAAACGTTTGATGCCTGTCACAAACAGCTCCAAGGGAAGGGAGGTGGCAGAAACGGGGAATGACATACAGCTAGCATGGTGCAACTCGGAGGGAGGACTAGCACTGGCGAGTGTGACTGGTGTCTGTGTATTTGCTGTTGTATGGAAACCGGGAAAATTTGAACTGCCCGGTGTGGACATTATTTTGAATACGGTTAAGGGAAAGCGTTTATATGTTCAGCTGTCAGTGAAAAGCTCTACAGGAGCTCCTCCTACCTGTTCAACTGACCTACTGCAAGGGTTCTTTAATGCTGTAGGAGGTGTTTTCGGGCACAGATTCTCTATGCAGCAATTCAAGCACAGTTTGCTGCATTAAGTTTCTGAAGAATGGCCCCATCTCCTGGGTTATAGAGTTCTTGTCCCCCCTAAGTAACCTTCCAAGTTAAAATCCATGCATGTTTGAGAGTGGGTGTTTGTTGTTTGGGGGTTGTGGGTTTGCTGCTGTTTTGGTTGTTGTTGTGGGTTTTTAATACAAAAATCTACTACATCATTCAAGGGTTTGGGTGTACTGGAATTAATCATAAGCATGTTGGTCAGACTGCTGTTCCAGCTAGGCACGACAGCCAGCTCTGCATCTTCTCAGGGTGCCCTGAGCATTTTTATAAAGACTTCCCTCTAGTGTCGTCTTTAGATGGGACTGAGTATACGCACCCAGGACCTTTGCAGGGCTGAGGACAGTGTAGCAAACCATGTGAACTTGCTGTTTCCTGGCACCAGGAAGAACAGCATTTGGTTACCTATCAAAACTATCAAGGAAGTGATATGTGGTCAGATTAATTCCAGAAGAGTGGAGAACACCCAATTTTCAAGGCTGATCCAAGTATACGATAGCAAATGCGAGTTGGGAAATTGTCAGAAGAGGAGGAATTAGTGTTGCATCTATGTACACTGTTCCTATGAGAAAATGAAAGTAGAATGTAAAAATGGCAGTCACCACTTTCAAATAAGTATATACTATCTCAGCCTACCACTGCCGCAGGTGTCTGGCGTCCCCTTGCAATGACGAGTATAATATATTTGTATCATCTAGAGGAACAAGGATCGCTTAGTGGAGCATAAACTCCCTGTATTCGTGGATAACTTAATTTTGAATGTAGCTCACTCATTCCTTCAACTATACTAGAAGACGTCCTGGATTTTTTTGTGTGTCAAAAAGGTCTTGTCTCAGAAGTGTACTCCATCTGTTCCAACCCCCAGCTTTGGAGCTAAAGCACAAATCACATTTGAAATGGTCAGGAAAAATACCTCAAGGCCCTAAGAAAACACAGAGAAGAAGTAAATGGTGAGAAAGGCTTCCTGGATAGGCACCAGAAGTGAGTCTTAATTACAGCTGGCAGAGTCTGCCTGATCACAGCATGACTCTGGAAGGGTTTGAGGATCTAAGGTAGAAGGACTGGGGAAATTTCACTTGGGGGAATCTGGATTCCTTTAGAGGACTGACAGAGCTCCAAAACCAGGTGGACCCTGAGCCTGTAAAGTCTGAAATGAACGATAGTTTGGAGCTGATTTTTCTTCTGGAGATGAGGAAACCGCCACTTCTGAGTCCTTCCCCTCCTGGTAACTGCTTGTCCTTTCACATCAGTTGATACTACTTAAAAAAAAAATACTTCTTCCTGTGAGCCTTGCTCTGTTTTCTGTATTTGCATATATGTTCTGATGTGTTGATAGCAGCTTCCCTACCACTCTGCAAGTATGTACACCCAGCTGAGAATACAGCCACCAAAATCTCTTAGGTCCTGTCCCAGGATTGCTGTACATACAGTTTTCCCAAGATATGTCCCCTTTTCTACTGGAATCTGCCCAGAGGGATTTGAGGAAGTGATTTCTGGGCATTGGGTGTCTGAGACGGCTAGATTGCTGAATACCTAAAATTTTCTGGCATGTTCACTGTACATAAGGTCATGCCAGAGCCACCACTCAAGCTAAACAGTGACAACACCTACGCAACTGGCTCAGGAGGCACTGGGCAGACCTGCTGTGTGCATGTTCATTCCCACTGAGAACCCCAGGAAACAAGGCACCAGTATGAATGTGTACTGAAATCCCAGACAAACATCAGGCTGCCCTACCATGCCAACTCATGCCACTAACCTGTCCAACGAGACTTAAGTAGCTTAAGTCCCTGTTCTTTCTACTTTCTTCAGGCAAATCATCAACAGCCAGTCCCAAAGCTGCACAAAGCCTGAGCAGAAAGGAAATGTTTGCATGTGGTGTTTCAAAACACTTTACTCCCCCTTCCCAGGGCCTTCCTGCTTGGAAGTTTGGGAACTGCTGTGGCATGGGATACAGAACAACACGTAGCCTAGAGCTGGGATGAACAGAATTACCCTTTATAAAATTTCCAAAGCTGTGTGGGTGGAACATGAGAGACAAACATTTATAAAGCATGATTCATGAAGTGGGAAGTGAGAGTGCTCTCCATGCATTAGCAGCTGCACCTTATTCAGGGCCTTGTAAAGTGCAAGGGGTGGGGATAAAGTACCAGTGCATCAGGATTACAGCAGGCACAGGGCCCCCCTAATTCGCTGGGGCGGGGGCAAAGCGATTGGGTTGCCCTGTTCTTTCTGTGTCTGCCATAAAGTTGTCAGAGATTACTCTTTTTCCATTCACCCAAGGTAGGGATGCATGCCAAAAATAGGCATGATCTTCCCGGAGTTTCAGGGCTTGTCTGTTGTACGGAGCTTACAGTGGCCTTTTTAGACTTTTCAGTTATTTCACGCAGCCGTTGCCAACGATTTGCAGAGTAGCAACTTTGTGGGACTCCCAAGCTGCCACCGAGAAAAGAAACTATGCTATAAACTATAAACAAACCCCCTTGTTATTCCGAATACTGACCATATTTTCTTCTTACTCTGAAATCTGCTTTGAAGAGGACTGTGCCAAGACAATGACCGTTGTCCTGTCCTTTGCCACTATACCAACTACTCTCAAGATGAAATGCATTCCTTTTGTCTGTCTGAGTTCACATTCATGGACTGTGGACATGCTTCCAGGCACAGTGAGGACCCTTATACAAACATCCTACTCTGTCGGCCAAAGTTCCAGGACTATAACCACAGAATGTAACTGTAGGCTGAAAGGAAAATCATGTCTGTAAGTACTGTGGATGTCTTTGCCTTTGACACAGTCCTTCTGTGAAAGTAATCCAAACAGAGCTGAAAAAACATCCAATCTTAAATGCCTGGAAATTAAATTCATTTTTCTATACTGTAAAGTCAGTCAGTCTCCACAAGCTACTCAAACCTGAATCTCCCTAGTTTCCACGAGCATTCAGAGGTTGCCACACGTGGTTTTTTAGAGGGCTTATTTTCCTAATTACTCTCTCCCTCCCATGGACCTTAGATACCCCAGAGACTATCATCTCCATGTGCTAACAAGCGCCAAGTCCAGTGGGTGGCTCCCACCACCTTCCAACGTTTTCTTACCTCAGCAGAACTATTTGTTGAGCCTCCTGCTGCTGTGTGTCTGCTGTATTGTTTGAACTGCTGCAATCCATCCTGCACAGCTTGTACCACTCCATTTCCCCCCGGCGGGAAACAGCCTTCTCTTGGCAGCGAACGGAGCTCCGAAATGCAGGCTTGAATTCGTGCAAAGTTTTCTTTCACTTGCTGCAGAACAGTATTCAATGAAATTCAAAGACTGGAAGTGTCAAAATGATAATAGCAAGTATTTTTCCATAATGTGGAAGGAGGCTTTTGAGCTCACAGCACTGAGATAGGACTGGGGGCAGGAGCCAAGCCATGAAGCAGTGAACAGTGACACGAATCAAAACCAGCTGACTGTTAATGCCAGGAACAACACACACCATCACTCCTCAAGTTTTCAGCTGTCTACCTGTTGCCTGCTGCTAGCCAAAATGTAGTAGTTGGGCATGCCCCTCTCCTCTGGCCCTGCATAACACAGAGGCAGAACTTGAGACACAAATAGGAGCACTGAGGCGGTGCGATGTCCCCAGGCCATAGGAACCTCTGCTGTATCTGTAACTCCTTTACTCATCAAGCTGTGGAACTCTGGAACCTGTGTTCAGGAGGGTTTGGAGTCAGACTGTGGCAACAGGTTCCAAAAGGGATCCCACAAACTCACGGGTAACAGGTCCAGAAGCAGATAGCGGAATAGCCTCAAATGTACACTCTATCATTCTTAATACAACAGCTGTGGAACTAGGGGAGTGTGAGGAAAAGGAACTGCAGAAAGCGATGGGGCTGGGACACTCCCCCAAAATAGCCTTTCCTTTTGTTACGGGGCTGATGGGCTGTAGGTCTGACTCAGGAGGGCAGTTCTTATGCTCTTGTACTGCTCCTTTAGGACATTCACTGCAGTTATGATTGCCAAAAAAGCAAATGCCAGTGGAAGGTCTGCGGACACTCCTGCTTCAAAGATGAGCTGCTAGAGCAAGTGTTAGAAAGGAAAAATTATTCTATAGCTGTCATTTGTGAAAATGTCTTATTCCTTCAGGCAACAGCTACTACTGTACCATGGCTGCCCCAAGGACAGCTGGTCTGACTCACTATGGCAAGATGAACATTATAAATGCACGGATAATTAACCCATGGTGCTCCACTGTGGTGCTTTGTGTCAGTCTCATGGATTGGAGGATATTGGGCCGTATTCTCACTGCCTGCTGTGGTGATTTAGATTACCTGCAGTCCAGGGCTGCACATATGTTGCTCAGGACTTCCTTGAATTTGGAATCACTTTATAGTGGTCACCTAAGTCCACAGAAGGCAGTCTGAATATGAACCAGGCTGGCCAGGGTCATCATAGACCCCTTTCATGCTCTTTCTCCATGCAGTATTAGTTGAAGCTACTTGGTATTTATTACCCAGCCATGACCTTTCCTTAGTGTAGACGTGACAATGCTAGGGAGCACCCAGGACCCAAACGTGTGTCTAGCATCCCAGCTCGCGTTCAACACAGATGTCAGTTCACCTTCAACAACCTTCAACAGTCAGCTTCAACAAGAACTCAAGAGGAGTTGAGGCATAGCCAGCAGGGAAACTACAAAGTTCTGACCATAGGATAGATTATTAGTGAGCTCTTCCAAGTCTGCCTGAAGCCATTTAAGACACTAGCTCTCCGTGCAGCATTGGAACGTAGCACCCAAAAAACCAGAGGAGTGAATGCATAGAAGGGCTTGGAAGTTTTTAAAGGCCTGTAAAAATGCCTTGCAGTTAAACTTCTACTTTGTTCTCCTTCATTTACCAGCTAGGAGATTGAGAAGGGACCTGCTTACGTTTAGAGGAAGAAAGTATAAAATAAAAGCACGTTCTTCAATCTAGCCAAAAGAGCAAATATATTAACAAATCCCTGGAAGCTAAAGCCAACAAATGCGAATTAGAAGCCAGGTGCAAGTTTCACAGCAACAATGATTAACCACTGGAAGAAATTATCAACAGAAGTACTTGATTCTCCATCTTGTAATAATGATATCCAGCCTAAATGATTCTACAAGTCTATGACTTCAGGATATTTCTCAAATTTGGCAAAAATATTTTGAATTCTGGTCCTTTCCCCTTCAATACCTGGAGCCTCTCCCAAAGTGGTATTTTTTGTGTAATTGACAGGTATACAGACTGTTTCACCATCCAAATTATTACAGCTGTACAGTTGTTTGATAATTTTGATAGCGAAGCAGTACAGATAGTGCAGAAAGTAGCATATGAAAGGGAGAGGTGCAACAGATGTTTTAGAAGGGAACAGCACAAAACCTTCCACATGAGCAACTTCACAAGTCAAAAATATGACACTCCTCCTTTTAAACATCATTCTTTCATAAAATCCACCTCTTCCATGGAATCTATTAATCTATGCTCTTTGAGAATTATGAACTTTTAGATAAACATTTGTCGTAACTTCCACAATCATAACTTTCTTTACTGAACTGCAACAACGGATTGCAGTCACGTTTGTTGGATCCCAAGAGAGAATTTCACACGTACCGTAAAGGGAAGCAGACACTCCTGCTGGCTCTGCACCACATAGAGGCTCAGCAGGGGAACGCGGCAGGGGCCTGGCAAACTGCATGCCAAACAGAGTGTGTTTTCCAGAGCTTCAGAGAGTATAGAACAAGTGTTGGTCCAGGAAGGTGATGTGACATCCACAATGAGAATCCGCGATGGCTGCTGGCAGTGTACTTTAGTAGCAGGAAAGGTTCTCCGTGTTTCTGAGAGTAATTTTCTGGAATTCATGGCTTCTGAACACAAGTGTTAGATGCCTGGTTATCCATCTGCATCTGAACAGGAAACATTAACAAATAGTAGCAGTAAGTGAGCTGTCTCCTTTCCCATTCACTTGAAAGCAACCTGAGATGTAGCAGACAGTAATGAATTAGACTCCTACAGCTTTGTCCAAAGCAATTATTGTCCATGCTCTGAGATAAACCCACACAAAGACAAGGGGAAATGCATGTGGTCAGAAAACAAAATGGTTCAACTAAAGATGCATGGCAGATGTACTCGCACAGATGCAACTGGAGCAGTTAAAAATGTGAAGAGCAGAGCCATGCCTAGCCCACAGGTGAGCTGTGTGATATGTTGCATGATCCCTCAGTACAGCTCAGGTGCATGGCTTCAATCTCCAGCAGAGAAGTGATCTTCAGCGGCTGGTGGACAGCATGACTTTGAACTCCTACTTCTGCAGTGGCCAAGTGATTATACCCAAACACCCTCAGGAGAACACAATCCCTGCTCCTTGACAGTGAGAATGAGACAAGTAGCTGTCGTATCCAAAAAAGGCAAGCTTGATGCAGCAAGACAATATTGCATACACATAGATTTTCCTTTGCAGATGGTGGAGAGCCAACCTTTGTCCTTCAGAGGATCTAACGCCTGGGGCTGGCTCTCTGCACTGGCAGAAGCCTCAATTAATCCAGCGCTAAGGTTGCCCAGCAGCATCTCATACTGTTCAAGAACACAGGAGTGCTGCAAGCCTTAAAAGAATCTGTAATGCCAGAAACTCCAGCAGAAAGTATTTTCAGCCAGACACCAGCTTTGATTCCCAGAGCTGGCTGGAGATGCTGGGAATGCTATCCATGGACATGGCTGTCCTTCATGTGTCACAGAGCTGTGCCAAAGCAAGCAGAGATTTGTTCAAACAGCTCAGTGGTGCTGTCAGTACTGCAGGCGACAGCTTGCACAAGGAAGGAAAGGACAGATTAGGGCTCCTCAGTTCCTGGGTCCTGTGCATGTGGGAAGAGAGGTGGTTCTTGTCGCAGTGCCACTGGAGACCATGGATCCCTTGTGCACACAAACAGAGCGTGTGGTCAGGACACGTTTCTCCCCCACCTCTTTCTGTGTGTTTGCTCTCAAATATCCACCCTTTTATCCAGCAGCACCACTGCGTTATCTCTGCACACATACGGCTCAGCTGGTGCTGTTCTGAGAGCCTTCCCCACAGTCTAAGAAAATTTGACCCTTCCTGTGAAATAGTAAGCAGAGAAGAAGTGAGAAGGAAACAGGAGCGTGTTGTCAGGTCTTGCATCTTTCCTGTGCCTCATGTGTACGAAACAGAGGAAACCACTTGACCCTGAGTGCAGAGTGAACACCTCAGAGTTTGGCTCAAAGGTTTGTGTGTCCCCCCTTTCCCTTCAATGCATACATCTTAAGCACAAGGGCCAGCATTTTCCTGTTAAAAAAAATCTTTTTCTTCCTTCATCATTAACAAAGATCCTGCCTAAAATCTTCTCTTCACTAAATCTAAACATCTCCACAAAGCACTCAGTGCTGTTTCCAAGGGTACAGAAAATGCTTTTAAAATATGTTTTGATTTTGGTAATAACAGTAGTATGTAACTGTACAAGTCTCCTTGTGCCCAGAAAAGTGTTTGTATGATTGCACATACCTTCTCAATATGAACTAGAATAAATTCTCTCTTCCTACAGCAGTGTAAATCCCCAGCAGGCTTAGTAAAAGTTTGAGGTGACCCTGGAGTGACATAGCCGGGCTCTGCTCAGAACCCAGGCCAGTATGCATTCCTGTATTTTGTGTGGTGTGTTCAGCTGAGAAAAATAACTCTTTGATGTTCACCAAGGAGACAAGCTGCTGTATCTCCTACAGCCCCCAGCACTTCAGGATAAGAATTTCTGTAAGTCTTGAAAAGAGCAGAAAATGTGTTTCTATTTGATTGGCATATCACCAAAACCCCTCTGTATTATATTTCTGTCTGTCAGCGAAGGCAAAACGGAGTGATCACAGATTGAATTCCAAAACTGAGGCTAACATTTGAGAACTGGTGAAAATGTTACATACAGATAGATTGTGTACGCATGTGTGAGGATCTTGCTTTGACTGGTAACCGGATATAATTCATTGCAGAATGGAAAACTGCCAGGTTCCTCTGTAATCAGTGTCTCTTCTGGAGCTTCACAGTTTACAGGAGAGTTTACTAAATCACTGAAACTGTGGAAGTATTTGTCTGCATGTATGTTTGTGACGAGGTGTCATACTAGAGCGATGCAAGCCCCCAGTGCTTTCGCAAACAAGGGAACAGAACCCACCTGGCAGTCAGAAATCTAGAAGAGTTGAGTCTTTGAGTTGCATTGGTTTCAGAGAGAAAAATGAGCCTTGACTCTGAAAAAGATACAGTTTTCCTAAATTTGAATGAATTCTTTCATTCTTGACACTGTACAGGACTATGCTTATTTTAAACTGCTTTAGTAAAATGGACGCTTCATCAGCTGTGCGCTTTACCAACTAAATTAATTTCATTTCTTCGTAATTGTGGGGTCTTAATTAATCTCTGCTTAGCAATATTCATATGATTTATATGCAGTTCTCTGTACAATATTTTACATACAGTGGAAACTGCCTGCCTCTCTTACAGCCTACGCCAGTCACACTTAGCTGCCGTGCGGCTGGATAACTGAAGAATTCTCTGTAATAACCTCACTGGTTGCCATGGTAAAATCACCATCTTCATTTCAACAGCAAGTGAACCAACAGTGAGCCTAGCCTAAGGGATTAAACCATCATTCAGTGTGCGGGAGTGAGAACTGTTAGTTCTACCAGCTGATACGACATTAACTTACTGCTCGATAAAGCAGAACTCATCAGCTGTCGGAGCTAGTTGCTAGCGGTGATGTACATTTTGCTCAATGCAAGAAGACAGACGTTTCTCAGAACTAGAAACACAGGGACAGAAAGAAAACTTTGCCGTGTCACGTGACTTGTGAGTGCTGATGGTGTTCTGCAGTTGCATATTATCCCATGTACTTAATTTGTTCCAGCTATACAAAACCAGTAAATACTATCCAAATCTAAAAAAGTCTAAATGAGAGGCAACAGCAAAGCCACTGGTTAAAGAATCGTAAGGATAGTCTCCATCTCCTTTCTAATATAGAACCCACTCTAAGTGGGAAGAAAAAACCCCACAAAAATGTGAATAATGAGTTTAAGCTAAAAATGCCGTACTGGGTCGCTAAGCCCTACAGCCCTACAGTAGTGAAGACAACTACTTTGGCAGGGGTCTGCTTACAGAGAAGGGGGTAAAACTAAGAAAACCCTGAGATGTGATAATCATGAACCCAAGCTATTGGCAATGGAATGCACACAAAATGGCGAACAAAAGGCACCAGCAAACAACAACAGTCAACAGGTTAAAGGACAATAAAAACTTACCCTGTAAATTAATAAGGAGTAAAAGCTACTCCTTAGACACATCAAGAACAAAAGTCAGTCTCGAAATAGTGTAAACCTGCTCTTGGCTTATAAGAATATGATTTTCTTTAATGATGCAGAAAAAGTGGTCAATAAATATTTTGATCTGCATGTAGAACAAAGCACTGATAACTAATTATTCTTTTTTCCATTAGTGGTTAGAGAGGCTATTAACCTGCAGCTGCTGGGACAGTGAGTTTTACGTTGCAGAACGGGGATCTTTGTGCCCAGGAGACCTTCGAACTGTTCCTGTTAACCTTTAACTCATCTCAGAGCTGTGCAAGTTCCAGAACAACTCTAATGTTCTTGCTTAAACAAAGAGCACGCAAACCGATTCAGATAGCAATAGCCCATTTGGCATGATGTACAGAGCAGGCAAATTCATAGAGACAGTAATATAATGCAGTCAATAACAAATCAAACAATTGTTGTGTGATTATGCAAAATAGATCTCATTAATCAATACGTTTTAGTAAGACTACATATAGGCCTAGGTGGTCAAGGCAAGTCTCAGCAGAGTATAATTTGCCTTTATGAAGCACTCGATTTAAACACACTTGCTTTTAGTCGCCATATCACTATAAAAAGCGACGAATCCCCTCAATGAATAGATTAAGAGCTCAATAATTGAGAAATTGCAGATATCTACAAATGAGGAGTATTCAGTAAAATGTTTCCACTGCGGTTATACAGCAATCTGTAGAAAACAGACAATACACAAAAATTTACCTCACAAAATTTATAGAAGACACTGCCATTGCAAAGAAGAATTATTTACAAGGATTTAGCACAGTTGCTTATCAAACTGGGCTGATTTGCATACTATGCATTTTAATATAGCCAACTGCGATTAAGCGGAAGAGCAGCAGAGGTAGCAGATGATAGGAGCTTATGTCACCTTCAACTCAGGGGGTCCCTGGGCTGCAAATGGTTGGAGGCAGGGAGAGCTGTCGGCAGCAGCATCGCTGCAGACGCGCCCTCTTCCTGCACTCTCCCAAAGCCTTTGCTGTGGGCCATGAGTTCATGGAGGAGGTGGATCTTGGGTCTTACTCTGTGTTGCTATTCTCATGTATTTATCATTTAGAGTCTCAAACTAGCCGCTTTAAAAATGTGCCATTTTCTGAGTGAGCCTCAGGGCCCTGGGAAACATTAGTATTCTCATGTGGGAAACAGATCAAGCTGGATAAACAAGTGGGCTTACTAGAGAAAAAACTAGCGAGCCGTAGAGAAGCCTGAGCCATGAAGTGGCCATGCAGTGTGGATGGCCTCTGGTGTGCATCTTGTTGTCTACCTAGCTAGAAAGAAAGGCATTTATTTTAAAAGGTCAGGATGAACAAAAGAATAAAACCAAACAAACAAAGTTAGCATAAAATCAAGCTACTGAAAACAAAATTATTCAAGATACTACATAACAGAAGATACTACGTTTTTCTATACACCAGTGCTATAACCAGTAATAAATAAGCGGCTTTAGGCTTGTGCTGTTATTGACCCAAAATCACCAGATCTTAGTAAGAACGGCCACTTTATCATAG